AGTCATTAAATCTTATTAAGATCTTAAACGATAAGATCGTAGATTATCTTATCAAAATCTTAAAGGATAAGATCTTATAAGATCTTAGTAAGATAATGTTAAGAAGTGTCTAAGATTTTTACTAGGGTCACTAACTCGTAAGTAAAACAAAATAAAAAATATGATATCGAACTGAAAATCGTATAGAACAAGTTAACTCTTCGCTATCCAAATTTTCCTTTTTTCATCAAATGCTCTGAGTTATGAGATAAAATGACCTACTACATCCTTCATAAATGACATGAACTGACATGCTAAGACATTTGATCGAGCAGCGGTTCAAAATATGAGACCCTTTCGTTTTTTGCCCGTGAATAATGGCAAATGGGTAAGCAGAACAATTCTTGTGTAGTACCTTTACTTTCGATTCAATCAAAATATTTTTCTTCTACAGTGAATTGAAGAAAACCACATTTCTGAGATATAGGCTACTCTTGGCCTAGCGCTGTGTACGTTGCTATATATTAACAGCTTATAATGCTGCAAAAGTAACCTTGTAGAGGAAAAATAATCGATCAGACTAGGAATCGAGCCCAGGTCGTCGGCGTACTGTGCCGCTGCTCTAACCACTGAGCTACGCGGTCCGTTCACTATCCGTCATAGGTCTCAAAACCGACATCATAAAATGTCGAGTTGTTGGTCACAAAAAAAACTGCTATTCCCAGTTTAAATGCCTAACAACGGTCAAAAAATTGCTTTAATGATTACGTAATGAAAAAATTGCGTTAATGACAGTAACTTAATTGACATCAGATGCACCACTAAAGAGTACTTCATAAACACTTAATTATACCGTTTTCGATGTGGATAATTGTCTAAATAATAAAGGCAGTTGAAGGTGTAAACGCTAACTTCTATTCCGATTATGAGAGACTGAATGTTACTTACCTTAATTCCATCGTTGATTTTGTTTCACAAATTTTCTTATCAATAATAGAAATTTCATTTTGATAATACGGCAATGAATAAAATCGAAAATGCTCTTTTTCTTGTTCATAAACATATTCGAAATGCCAATTATGATCACGATAATATTTATTTTGAAAACATGTTATTATATAATTCAAGTCAAATGGATATGAATTATAATAAAGTTCAATATATAAGTGAAAAGTTTTCAATTGAATTAGGGATGTTGATAATACTCGTTGGCAATAATAACCATCGAGAAATTCAGTATTTCCTGTACATTCAAATGTTAAATATTGAAGTTTTGATAGATACTTAAATAAAAATGCAATTCCATCAACTGTTTCGTAGTTAGAAGTGATTACTAATTTTAAATGTGTGAAAGAAAATTGTTGTGATTGATGGTAAAATGTTGTTGTCATATAATTATCAGTATATATATTGAAGTTCAATACTATAATATTGAATATTTGGCAAATGAAATAAATCCAAATACGTACAAGTATCCAGTGCTAATTTTCTGAATAAAAAGACTAGTGTTACTACTATTCGAGTACGTGTCTAAGTATATTAGCGGTGTTGCACAAAATTCAGTTTTAGATACTTTGAACTTATTTGTTTAAATGGAATTCAGTGTTTGTTACCTACCTAATGGAACATCATCTTCTTGTAGTTGTTTTAATTGTTTCTAATAAATACAAATGTGTTTTGAAAACGAAGTTTTTTAAACACATTAATTGATTGCCATTATCATTATTCAATATTTTACCTCATATATATTTCAGATTGTTGCTCATCGGATATGTGACTGGAAAAATGAATAAATTTGTTAAGAATTTTAATTTTATTATTTTTGGTATTAAATCGATTAATTCAATGGGTGTTATATCAGATAATGATAATGTTGATAGATTAACAAACTGTTTACTGATATCAAATAATTCACTGAACGTAGATATTTGTTTAACAGTTACTCTATCTTTTAATATCAAGGTGTTTAACTGAAAACATACATTTCCAATTATTTGCGAACAATAATAATCAAACTGTGTTTTTGATATATTTGTTAAATTCACACACATTTTCATATGATAACTGCGAATTAAACTACTGTACCGACTATTGAAGTTATTAAATATTGTATATATTTCAAAGCATGTCAGATATTCAAATAATTCATAATACAACTCGTTTGAAATCATTTCAAATTTTGTAACCATTTTTCTTACGTTCTAAACGTAAAAGGACAGACGATGTATAATGCTCATGTCGCCTCGATTTGTTACCAGACTCATCCCGAAGAGACTAAAAATTAGACGTTGAATAAGGAAACAGCGAAAATAATTCAAGCCATCGCTCATATAGACTGTTGTCCAGAGGTGCAGAATCTTCCCCATGCGCCCCCGCGCGGGGGAGGGGGGGAATTTTTGAAAAATTGCATTATCCGGGGAAATTTTTGAAAAAAACTGTTAGAAGGGGAAAATTTGTTTTTTTCATAATTAACTGTTAGAGGATATAGTTCATTCTTTTGCATTTGTTCCTTTACTTGTATACTCTGTCGAATCCTGAACGAATCCTTAGATGAAGAAGTGATGTTACATTGGAATGCACCACCGCTTCGTCTAGCAGATCCATTCATCAAGTCCTCCCTCAACAACTACTTCTTTCAATTGAAAGAAAACACTAGATTTTCTTCAAAAAAACAGAACAGTATCGTCTATTTAAATTAGTTTCACCTGGTTCGGTTGTTTTCAACCGCTTGAGAAAAGAACAAGTAGAAAGAATTTCTATGTTGTACGAACAGAACAAAATGTTGCCATATTTTTTTACTTCTGTTTTGTGTCAAATAAAGTTGGTCTGTGAGCGGCGAAAAGAAAACAGCTTGGGAAAATTTTTGATTTTTTGGAAGATTCGGCACCTCTGCTGTTGTCTCTCACTAATGAAAGTTTCTATTCAGTTATTAGTTCATCACAGATTAAGAATAACAGTATACAGCAGCTAATTTGATTGATGTACTAGTTTCCGACGTTTTAATTTTATTAAAAGTTGTCCAAAAAGTAGAAACTTTATAAAAACTAAATGGAGTATATGTACTGTATAGGCCAAATTTCTTTTACTTTCTTTATTTTTCGCGTCGTTTCTGTACAGCAAAGGTCCTAGTTCATTTTGATGTCATTTTTTGTTTTATTTCTTTCTTTCCATCATCTATAGGAAAACAACCGTCTATTAACCCTTCTGGAAATATTATCACAGGCACCGAATGTGTTGTACAATTCAAGGTAGACTCAAGCAATTTAATGACTAAAATTTCTTTGACCAATAAGTGATACGAATTACTAGCACTACAGATGACTTTGAAGTTTTACCACTGTATTGTATGATCTATATCCTTCTCGTGTTTTCCTAATGAGGATTTTTCGTCCCTTTCTTGGCTCATTATCTGATCTACCATATGAGTCATACATTTTGTTCGAAGCCTGATTAGTAAGTTGTTCAGACAAGCTTATTTGAGAAGTTAATAGCGAGTGCTGATTTCGTATTCTAGATGTTACAGGACCAATTGTATCTCTTGACTCAAGAATATGTTTCTGTCGTCATCAGACTTTCATCAGAACGTACACTGAGACCATTTTGTTGAAACAAGTCTTTAGGAGCACCACGTTCCTGAAGTCTACGAAGTCTTTGACGTTCTGTTTCTCCCACATAACTATTTTCACAGTTGATGAGCCTGAAAGCACTCGCTATTAACTTCTCAAATAAGCGTGTTTCAACAACTTACTAATTAAACTCTAACAAAATATATGACTTTTTAGAAACTTTTAACAAGTTTCTATCTTTTGGACAACCTCGAAGATGATTTTTTAACAAAATCGAAACGTCGGAAACTAGTACATAATGATCAAATAAGCTGCTGTTATACTGTTATTCTCGATAAAGATCTATGCATCAAAAAGGAAAACGTTCATCACCGATACTCACATTCGTGCTTCTATTGTACTAGCTGAGAAAAAAAATTCAGTAAACGAATGAAAGACTCACAAATATCAACTTAACTTAAGAGTACGACTTACTATTTGGTACATTTCAACGAGATAAATCTAGTGTGTGAGAAACTTTTGTGTGAAAACTCAGTTTTTGTCTTGAATATATAGTCAAATGTCTCACGAACGACTGCTATAACTACATAAGATCGAGCGACCAACGATAAATCGATTGGTATATAATATTTTCAGATTATTTAATGGGAAGAAATCTTGTCATGAAAGATGCAAGTAAAAATCAAATCTTTTTTGAAATATTTTCCACCCATTCTTTCAAAAAATTAACTTACCACTTTTCTATTTTCTCCATATATTTGATAGTTTCTTGGGAAGAAGCTCTTGATGCTCAAAGAACTATAACTCAGCGCGCACATTAGATGAAATTCTGAGTTTTTGTGCAGTAGTGGCTACGCTTAAGAAAAGTAAAAGGAAAAAGAACTAGATAATTTCCTTCAGTAGAAAATAATTCACAACGTTTTGACCGATATCGGATGTACATGTTACGGGAAAGACATAAATAGTACACTTACCTTCAAGCTGAATGTGCAATTCGGATTCTGTTAATAATATATATGATAAGGAAATCACATTTAAATTTAATTTCGTTTTCCTCGTAGAATTTTCTTTTATTTTATAAATGTATTTACAACTGCTAAACGTTTCGAAGTCTAAACCGACTCCTTCGGTAGTACAAATGAAATGAATAACAAGTGATTACAGAAAAGAACATACTATATACGAGAGCTAATTAAAAATGTGCGCGTAGGATTTTCAACAACTGCAATAGTGAGTGTATAAAAGCATGATATTTGGAAATTACACTTATTGGAATACGAGAAATAAATAATAAGTACAGTAAACGATGATAATTGTGAAAGTTACAGTTGCATATGGATAAAGATGAGCAGCTAAAATATGATGTTGACTGACATTGTAGTGAATAGATGGCATAACAGCTGTACAAAAATTTGAAAATTAAATAATAAGTACAATTGTAAAAGACACATATAAAACTATTTACTGGTTAAAATTTATATTTAGCTCGTGGTTGTGCTCTTAAACTATATTTGCCTTTTTGGTTTAATCCTAACACTACTTGTTGACTAACTATATTATGACTATTTATTCGACTATTATGGTGACTATTATTATTTGAATTTATTGTTTTTGTTCTGAAAAGACTACCTGATTTTTCCCCTATCCATTTACTGATACTAGCTTTCCATTGATTGCATATCATCCGTTTATTATTATATGATTTATTTGCTATTGAATAAACTGCTTCTAATACTTTTCTACGATGTTTATTTTCTTCTCTATCAAAAATTAAACTTTTCTCAAATTGAATATTACAACTACTATTACTAACTAACAAATGTTGAACTATTTCTGACTCATTAACACGATGATATTTGACATTACTCATATGTTGTTTGTGGCGTCTTTCAAAATCTTCCGTTTCTCCGACATAGATGCATCCACATTTGCCTGGTATACCATAAATAGCATTTTTAGCAAAAACTGTAGAATCTTTCTTCTTTGTACCAAGCTTATTGAGTGCAATTAATTTGGTTTTATTTAAAATAGAACCAATACTTTTGGAGTGTTGTGTAAATGTTTTAATTTGATGTTTTTTTAAATCTCTTTTCAAACGTTCGGTGATACCATTCAGATGAGGAATCACAACTATACCAGAACATTGTTGATTATTGTTAACATTATTACTTCTACTTAAATTATCATTAACTTCTTTTTTGATTCTATTTTTAATATTTTTTGGAAACTGACTATTTTCTAAAATTTTTTGCAAATCATTTAAATCTTTTTCATTTTTGTGGCCATTGTTGGCTACTAAAACACGATTTGTCATATTTTTAACGATATTATTTTTGATTGCTGAATTGTGATTCGAATGAAAATTCAAAAGGT